CCCACCTCCCACAAACACACAAACATCCCCACCCTCCCCCTCCCACAACACACAAACATCCACCACACACAACCACAAAACCCACACACACACACACTCTGAGGTTACAGGTTAAAACCGTGGCAAGGCAGTCAGGATCAACAACAAGAGGGGACTGGGACAAATCATGGACCCGAACCCCGTGGGCCCAGATTTTAGAGGTAAGCAGCTCGTCTCTCGGGCCAATATAACCATGTCAGTTGGTGCCGTCACCTGTTCTAGGGGGCAATGTCTACGGACTTTTTAAAATTATAATAAATATACATTATAACACGGATAAGTCGAACACAGTACTCTTCCTGCAGTCCCGTTTTCTCCCCAACTTTATCTTTGTCAGATAACCCTCGAACTACTGAGGCCCGTCCCGATGAATTTGAGCTATCCTTGCTATACTGTACACAATTTTTTGTCTGAGGACTTTTTATACAATGTTATTTATTCATTGGTGGACAATAGTTTGTATTTAGACAAAATTTCATCAGGGGACTTTCTTTCTTGAGTCTGTGTGAACAACTTTTCATCTATATAGACCACGAAAGTACGAGATGTTCGACTACACACTTGTTGGTGCAGTTGGCTTCTCTTATATATAAATACAACTGTTCATAGTCCATAACTTGGAAACAAAACTGTAGGCCAACTATATTTGTCATAAAAGGTGGTGCTTAGCTCACTTAATACTGACAATTTGGCACCTGGAAATTAAAAAAAACCCAGCACAACTGGTCCACATAGAGAAGCCACAAGGAAGGGCCAAAGTTAAAATATGATGGATCTATTATCTTATTTTAAATATTTTTACACCCCCATCGACACAAAATAGATCATTTAGGAGGCGGGCTTCCAACCCTGCCTATTAGGGTCAACCGGGGCTGAGAGGGGGTGGATACAACAACGTACCAGCAGAAAGACCTAGATAGTCTACTTGATTTTTTCAATTCTCCCTACCTCCAACATTCTGGGAATCGAACTCAGGAGTCTTCTGCGTTCAGCGGCAAAGTGCCAAACCGTGGCACCGTAGACCCCAGTGGCAAAAAAGCCAAGCTACTACAAGAATGTGAACAGTAACTTTTATCTTGTCCCCCCC